ACAGAGATATAGACCAATGGAACAGAAGAGAGTCCTCGGAGGCAACACCACACATCTACAACCATCCGATCTTTGACAAACCTGACAAAAACAAGCAATAGGGAGAGGAGTTTCTGTTTAACAAATGGTGTTGGAAAAACTGGCTAGCCATGTGCAGAAAACAGAAACTGGACCCCTTCCTGACACCTTACACTAAAATTAACTCCAGATGAATTAAAGACTTAAACATAAGACCTAACATCATAAAAACCCCAGAAGAAAAACTAGGCAAAACCATTCAAGACATAGGTGTAGGCAAGGACTTCATGCCCAAAACACCAAAAGCATTGGCAACAAAAGCCAAAATAGACAAATGGGACCTAATCAAACTCCACAGCTTCTGCACAGCAAAAGAAACAGTCATTAGAGTAAATCGGCAACCAGCTGAATGGGAAAACATTTTTGCAGTCTACCCACCTGACAAAGGGCTGATATCCAGAATTTACAAAGAACTAAAACAGATTTACAACAAAAAAACAAGCCCATTCAAAAGTGAGCAAAGGATATGAACACTTTAACAAAAGCGTTTTTAAAAAAGACATACATGAGGCCAAAAAACATATGAAAAAATGCTCATGATCACTGGTTATTAGAGAAATGCAAATCAAAACTACATTGAGATACCACCTCACGCCAGTTAGAATGGCAATCATTAAAAAATCTGGAGACGACAGATGCTGGAGAGGATGTGGAGAAATAGGAACTCTTTTACACTGTTTGTGGGAGTGTAAATTAGTTCAACCATTGTGGAAGACAGTGTGGCGATTCCTCAAGGACCTAGAAATAGAAATTCCATTTGACCTAGCAATCCCATTATTGGGTATATATCCAAAGGATTATAAATCATTCTACTATAAGGACACATGCACATGAATGTTCTCTGCAGCACTGTTCACAATAGCAAAGACCTGGAACCAACCCAAATGTCCATAGATGATAGACTGGATAGGGAAAATGTGGCATATATACACCATGGAATATTATGCAGCCATCAAAAACGATGAGTTTGTGTCCTTTATAGGGACATGGATGAAACTGGAAACCATCATTCTCAGCAAACTGACACAAGAACAGAAAATCAAACACCAAATATTCTCACTCATAGGTGGGTGTTGAACAATGAGAACACATGGACACAGGGAGGGGAGCATCACACACTGGGGTCTTTTGCGGAGGAAACGGGAGGGACAGCGGGGGGGTGGGGAGTTGGGGAGAGATAGCATGGGGAGAAATGCCCGATATAGGTGATGGGGAGGAAGGCAGCAAATCACATTGCCATGTGTGTACCTATGCAACAATCTTGCACATTCTTCACATGTACCCCAAAACCTAAAATGCAATTTAAAAAAAAAGGTAAACAGCAGCAAGCAAAAAAAAAAAAAAATTATCTGTAGTGATAGTTGCACAACTCCGTGAATATACAAAATAAAGAAATAAAAAATCACATTGAGTTTCACACTTTAATGAGCAAATTGTATGGTATGTAAAATTGTATCTCGATAAAGCTGTTACAAAAAAAAAAAAAAAAAAGAATCTACCTTAACTGTCCTTGAAAACACGGAATTCTATTTACAACACTTTGCAATAGCAACTTTATTATCAGATCAAAACAGTCTTCATTCAGGAAAAGCAGACTTCTTTTACTGTGTCAATGTTTTCTTGGTACCCTTGGCTTCATTACAAAAACAATCTACAGCCTCAAGAGACAAATGTTGTCTAAACTCAAAATCCTAGAACCTGTTTTCATAAATCATGCTATCTCACTATGTTAGCAATATGGTCTGCCTGCTTCATGGAAAATATTTAGTAATTCAATATCCTGGAGTAAATACAAAAACCTTCCCCTTGGTTTGTGCTATTGACTCTGCTGGGAATTTCCTCCTCACTCTCTTTCCTGGCTGAAACCTACTTGTAACCTCACAACTGCTTCTTCTAGGCAGCCCTCAGAACTTTTCTCCCAGGCCCTTTCCAGGCAATTTTTTGGTGGGGGAAATACATTGTTGTGTTGACATCACTGTCCCTCTCATGTTGCCGTATTGCCATTACTCTTTATTGTTTAACCTCCCCCCGACCCAAAACCAAGAGCACTCTGAAGGCAGGGACCAGGTCTTTCTGGAAATCCCAATGTCTGATCCGCAGAGGAGGCAGCCTCCAGCCAGTGCTGGCTGGCTTTGGAAGTAGCGGCATCACATTCACCTTTAAAAGCATCTCAGTTGGAAAAACTGCAAATATCAGTAAGGGAAAAGACTGAAATTAAATTTACAACTTCTAAGAAATGTGAGAGCTAATGAGAAGCAGGCTTGCATATCTTTTTTATAAGGTCAACTGAGTCACACTCCCGTATTCAGCACGCTGCTCTTCTCTTGCAGTTAGTTCACAGAAATTTTATTATTGTAGCATAAAGTACAACTGCCACTTAACAGCACAGAAAGAATCAGCACAGTCCCTGCTCTCATGGCACAACATCCACTTCGACCACATTCCGTCAGATGATGGACACATGTACAAGAGACCTACCAAGACCCAAGTGGTTGATGTTAATGACCAACTACAACAAAGTGGGGAGCCCAGGCAGTGGTCAGAGTATGGCTTGAATTCTGTCTCTGTCCCTTACCAATGGCACGACCGTGAGCAAGTTACCAAATGACTCTGTAATGCCCGGCCCCTAATCTGCCCAGTGGAGGAAATACTCCAACTACTAGAAGTAATATGAGAATTAAGACTGCACAAGGAGCTGGCCCACAGGATAAAGAGAGCAGTTGTTCCTTCCCTTCCCCCAGCATGTATTTCCCCAAATGCCATCCTAAGTATTCACATTGAAGAGATAAGGCCCTCAGAAGGAAGATTCATAACCACAGAAAGTTGAAAACAGAAACCTCTTTAAATGCTGCTTTATTAAGAAAAATGAAAGCAAATGAGACTGGGGCCAAAGATCTCAGCGCACATTCCTGACACTCCTCCACTGATCCTGAGACGCAGGGATGTGGCCAGGATGCCGAGTATCAGCAGCCAGGGGAAGAAATCGCTGGGCTGAACCATGGGTCCCTCACGACAGGCAGGCAAGATTTGGGCATGGAAGAATACATACGGTCCCAGGTGGTAAAGCTCACCTACAATTTACTTTTTCTTGTTATTCTTCCAGCCTATGTTTCAAACTCTCTAAATCCAGAGCAAGTATCAAAAGAAGAAGTAGAATCAATAATGAAAACAGTCTATGGCACACAGTGCTTGCTCTAGGCCAGGCACTGTTCTGAGACATTTACATCTATTCTCCCATTTCATTCTCACCCGAGGATGGGTAAACTGAGGCAAATAGGTCACATGACTTATCACAAGGCTAAACACGTGGCAAACAGGGGAACAAGCGTTAAGACCCAGCAGTCCACTGCCTGGTCTTACCTGCCGTAGTACAAGGCTTCTCCCAAGACCGTGTTCTCACACTGGTTTCACACCCTCCCTACTTCATATGAGTTTCCAGCAAAATCACTTTAGTGGATTCTGCCACCTCACTTTTCCCTGCCATTACAGAGTACTGGAAGTAGTATTCTAACAGCAGTTCCGTGAGGAATTACAAACCACATGTCTTCCCATGCTACCCAGAGAAAGACAGAGAGAAAGAAAAGAAAGGTGAGACAATGTGTACTGATAAGTGCCAAATGACACGCAGCAACCAGTACCCAGTCAAGTACCTGACAGGCACTGTGCCAAGTTCCTTGGAGCACTGCACTAAAGCTCCCAGTGACCACAGATCTATACGTATTCGCAACTATAATTATATGCACACACACAATGTACGTATGTGTGCGCATATATGTGTAGGTGTGTACTTGCATAAACACACATATATACACAACTGTATGTGTGTGTATGCATATCTGTATAAACACACGTATATACACATCTGTGTGTATATATGCATATGTGTGTGGATGTATATAAAACAGGCTTTTTAAAATATATACCTAATACAAAAGGCTACTTCATATAGGTCTCAGGAAAGACAAGTGAGTTTGCCAAGGGCCTGTGAGAGTGCTGGAGACAGTGTTTGAATCCAGATATCCAACCCCAAAGCCCATGCTCTGAACTACTCACTACACCCAAACTTTACCCTTAGTGACCAACTGCTGTGGTGTTACCCTTCATGATCAACTGCTATGATTTTTATGCCAGAAAACCGTGGTAGCACATCAAGTTTCTGAAGCTTCATTTTTTGCTGTCTGCAGCATAAAAAGACATGCAATTAACACAGAACCACACCTGGGGCCAGATGTGCTTCCTTTATAACTTTAAGAAGCCTCAAATCACTCTCAGATGTCAGCCTCCTGAGTTAAGATTAGAATTTGCAAAAATAAACACTCATTCATTGTGTTACAAGATCCCCCACCAAAGAGCTAAACAAATTTACCTTCGTGACTATGAACAGCATCTTGAATTAACATATCGCTGTTTAAAAAGACAAGTGCTTCAAAGACATTCTCTCCCAGAGACTAAAATAAATCACACAAAACCATGACAATAGTGGTCATCAACACCTACTACCCTCTTACTCTAAAGCAAATACTGTTCTCGTCACTGTACAAGCATTATCTAATTCAACCTCTCAACCACATTCAGTAGTTGCTATTACTGTTAGCTTTGCTATTAATTATTCTTTAAAATGTCATTTAAGAAATCCTGGCTTCACTTCTCCTCTATAGATATTCCTTCTGCAGACTTTATCTGATGCTAAAAAATTTGCACAGAAAACAATTTGTTCCATCTAATCTCTTTTTTCAACATATTAGAGACTGTTGCTGTGAAAGGAACCTGGGACACCTCCGTTACGTGCACAGCTGTGTAAGGAGAAGGACTTTCTGTGTTGGCAGGGCTGGCCTGCAGCAGACACCTACATATATGCATAAACTCAAGAAAGCAATGAGTACTCAGGGGAGACGGGGCTGCCACTTGGGCTTGCTACTTACCAGTGCTGTGTGAACTTTAAGATGTGCCTGTAGCTTATATTTATCTGGAGTCGAGTAGTCACAGCCGTCAGTGGGACACTTCAGCAAGATGTTGCTGTGTTTCTGAATTACATGGCGTTTAAGGCAGTTTTTGGTGATGGAAGAATAATGACACTGGGAGCAATAATACAGATGTTCCCGGGTGTGGGTGCGGACATGCATATCAAAATGCACTTGGTACCAAAAAAGTTTGCCTAAAAAAATATTTTCACATGAGAACAAGGAAGTTTCTTTTTGACTGATTATTGAATTTTTTTCATTATTATTATTATTTTATCTACAGTATTTATCTCCCTCTTGTGCTTGTCCGGTCACCCTTCCTACTTTTCACCACATTTCTGTCTAGAAATTACTTTTCAAAGGTGAGAAGTTGCAAATATTAAGGGTGTTACCATTTTTTCTATGATGTCAAGGTTAGGAGAGGAGGAAGCCAATTGTTTGCTGAGAACCAGTCACAGTGCCAAATACCATGATGCATATGCATAAATCTACGAGTCTCTAAGCTCTTACTGGCACTCCTGGGACAGCAGGTCTGGAGCTGGACTTCCTACATCCTGCACTGCCGGCTCCCCATGAGGTCCAGGAGCCATGCTTTCACGGTGAGTTGCAGGGTGCTATTTGGGACCTCCCTACAGAGAGTGGCAGCCACTTTTGTAACCTCTCTTGGCTGATCTAATACTTGGTCACAATTTAAAGTGTAACTTTAAACTTGTCATGTGCCAGAAGAAAGATTCTTCTTGGTTAGAGTTCTGGGAGAGGTCATGGGTAACCCTCAGCACACACACCTGACCAGGCCAACACGGTCAACTGTGTGGCCATCCCAGCCGCCTCCACAAGACTCCAAGTGCTAACTGCCACACAGGGGTCACCGTTCCTATCTACTATGAGGAAGGGGGCTCACTTAGGAGGCGTTCCAGACAGGAGCTCAAATCAAATGTGAGGTGACCACAGTGTGATGGGAGTGGACAGGGCCACGCAGTGGTGCTGCCTTTCCTTACCACAGTATTCACACTCCAGGTCTCCATAAACCTTCCGGATCCGCTCGCACAAGCTGGTGTTCATTTGCTTCTTCTGTAAACTGTTCAGGATCTTCATGAAGGCAGTGACGCCAGACCGGTGTTCAGGGGCAGCTTTGCAAGAGTCAGGGTGGTGCATGACGGTGTCCCCACCACCAGTTACCGGAGGGAGGAGGTCAGAGGCCTCAGCTGGGTTTGACCTGAGACACCTGCTGGGATCTGGGTCACCAGCTGAAAGTACAGTCAGGTTCTGCCCTTCCCCTGGGGGGCGCTGGGTGCCCTGGCTCTCCTGGTCTGACCCAGGGCTCTGGGCCTTGGACAGCAGTAGTGTGATCACTTCGCCTTGCGTCTGGACTAAGTCTGCATGTTGTGTGTCCGAGGGCTTCTCAGGAGCAGCATGATCCTCCACAGAAGAGCTATCATTTTTCAACAAAAAGTTATCTGAAACTACCTCTTGAGAATGCAGGTCTGAAGAGGAGATCACAGTGGTTTCCAGCTGGCAGGGTGGCAGGGCTGCACCTTCGGCCTGCGGGGAGGCCAGGTGCACAGCTGGGGCAGGTACTTCCCCAGGCGCCTCCGGCTCCTTCTGGCCCTCCTCCAGCTGCGCGTCCCCAGGACAGGCCTCTTCCTTGAGTACATTCATGCCCTGGAGGGCAAACTCCTCTTCCGCCAGCTGCAGCTGGTCCCCCAGGGCTTCTTGCTGGATGTCGCCACCAGGCTCCAGAAGGCAGAAGCTCTGGTTGATGGAACTGGTGAAGACCAAGGCCTCCTGGGAAGCCTCATGCACCTCTTTGATGTGGGAGCGCAGCCTGATGGAGCTGACAAACTTCTTGCGGCAGATGGCACAGACGTACACGAAGGGGTGCTTCCTGATATGCAGCTCTAGTGCCTGGTACTTGGTGGCCCCATGGCCACAGAGCTCACAGGCAAAAGGCCACTTGTCTCCATGGACCAGCATGTGGCGGTCGCGGTCCAGCTCGTTCTTGAACTTGCGCTCGCAGATGTGGCAGTCATAGAGCAGCTGCCGCTTGCCCTCCCTCGTCATCAGGCAGAGCTCATCCAAGGCCTCCTTGACCTTCTTGTCCTGAGGGTCGTGCGCGTCTCGGATGTGCTTGATGAGGTTCTTGACGTCGGAGTACTTCTTCTTGCAGAAGCGGCAGTGCTGCTTGATCTTCTTGTGCACCCGCTCAATGTGCACCTTGAGGTGGCCCTTGCTCAGGCAGGTGAACGAGCAATAGTCGCAGGCGAACTTCTCGCCGGTGTGCTTTCGCAGGTGCACGTTGAGGTTGGCCTTGATGGCACTGGCATAGCTGCACTGGGTGCACTTGTATGGCTTTTCATTGGTGTGGATCCTCAGGTGGGCCTGCAGCGAGTGCTTGAACTTGAAGACTTTGTTGCAGTACTCACAAGTGAAGATTTTGAGCTGAGTGGGACCTAGCCTAGAAACAGATGACAGCATGGTTACATGTGGAGACCTTGAATGTTCCTCATGAATGCTACGTCCTCTTTATGAACCAAACACTAAAGGCTGAAAAGTGAACAAAACTGGACAGCTACTGGATGGGTGCATTCATTCACTCAACAAACACAATCAAAGGGCTCGTGTGGGGCGATGGTCCTTTAGGAGTTCACAGACTTGGGGGAGGGAGGACAGGCTGGCAAATGTGTGTGTGACAATGTGGTGTGTATGGACAGCAATACGCACAGGGCAAAAAAGATAAGAGACCTCTGACCTATATTAGGGTAGCTGAGAAAATCTGAGGAAGAGATGTCTGTCTAAGCTAAGGCCTCAAGAAAGGGAAAGAAGGAAGCAAGTGAAGGAAGACAGAAGAAGAAAGATGGGTGTACTGCCCACAGAAGAGGAGACATGGGTGCACTGCCCACAGAAGAGGAGAGACGGGTGCACTGCCCACAGAAGAGGAGAGACGGGTGCACTGCCCACAGAAGAGGAGAGACGGGTGCACTGCCCACAGAAGAGGAGAGACGGGTGCACTGCCCACAGAAGAGGAGAGACGGGTGTACAGCCCACAGAAGAGGAGAGACGGGTGCACTGCCCACAGAAGAGGAGAGACGGGTGTACAGCCTACAGAAGAGGAGAGACGGGTGCACTGCCCACAGAAGAGGAGAGACGGGTGTACAGCCCACAGAAGAGGAGAGACGGGTGCACTGCCCACAGAAGAGGAGAGACGGGTGCACTGCCCACAGAAGAGGAGAGACGGGTGCGCTGCCCACAGAAGAGGAGAGACGGGTGCGCTGCCCACAGAAGAGGAGAGACGGGTGCGCTGCCCACAGAAGAGGAGAGATGGGTACGCTACCCACAGAAGAGGAGAGATGGGTGCACTGCCCACAGAAGAGGAGAGATGGGTGCACTGCCCACAGAAGAGGAGAGATGGGTGCACTGCCCACAGAAGAGGAGAGATGGGTGCACTGCCCACAGAAGCGGAGAGATGGGTGCACTGCCCACAGAAGAGGAGAGATGGGTGCACTGCCCACAGAAGAGGAGAGATGGGTGCACTGCCCACAGAAGAGGAGAGATGGGTGCACTGCCCACAGACGAGGAGAGATGGGTGCACTGCCCACAACATGCACTATAATAACCAGCTATATCCCAAGCTGACCTGGGTGGATTCCTCGATATTTTAACAGGACCAGTCTTAATGGAATGAATTCAGTCTACCATCTAAGACTGGATGCAACCAACTTGTCAAGAGCTTGGGTAAGCCAGAATTGCCTAATCAGTCAACCAACTGTTGGGAGTGACTCTTTCTCCCTTTCTGCAAGTTTCCTTGTGAGGACCACTCATCAGCGAAAGATCCCTGGCCTTTCTCCACATCCTTACTCCTTCCCAAGAAAAGAGGACCAATGTGACTTCAGAGCAGGACCTAAGCCATGAGCTGGGCTCTGCCTGTTTTTGGTGAGGATGTGCCTGCCTGGAGTGAGCACAGGATACAGTGGACACTTAGCCAACTGGCCCTCTGTGAGCCTGGCCGGAGTGGTCCAGGACAGCAGGTGGAAGAGAAGGACTGTCTGATTCTGCAGGCAGTAACAGGAGGCTCCTGCCGACTTGTACCGCACTGTTCTCTCCCACAGCTCTGCCAGTAACAGAGCTGATACGCGGTGCACTGCCCACAGAAGAGGAGAGGTGAGTGCACTGCCCACAGAAGAGGAAAGATGGGTGCACTGGAGGTGCACCTCCATCTTCCTCCTCCTCCATCATGGTTGGTTTACAACTCAGATGGGGGAAACAGGGCTGCTGTTTGTTAACTGTGTATTTCATTTATTCAAAAATGGCCACCATTTGTTAACACCTGCCAATGTGTTTCAGGCACTGCATTAGATTTTGTGTATGTGGTGAAGAATAAAAACATGGTCTACTGTGGGTAACCCCCCTTCTGGATACCAAAGAAGGAGAGCTAAGCAGACCCCCGGCACAGTTAGTGCCTGAAGAATATCTTACTGCTCATTTATTTCCTTTTTAATATAATGTCTTCATAGATAATCAAATCTTAGTTTGTAGTCAGAGGAATATCTAGAGCAGACACACTGCAGAGCATGAACTAGAGAAAAACAGCCACACCAGGACATGAATCAATGGCCCAGGAAGTAGTGCCCCTGCCTGAAAGGGCATGCACTACACGGCAGATGGCAGTCGGCCCAGACGGCAGTGTTCAGTATCGTAAAGATACCCGCTGTATGGCAGGATTGGAGCAAGAGTCACTCTTCCTGAAAGGGAGTTGTAGTATCTTACATCCAGTTCTTGCGGAAAGCTGGCCTTAGGCTGGCAATCCCACGTATGTCCAAGGGCTTAAAACCCGTCCGGTATAATCGCACTTAGGGGTCTGTGTACCGTCAGCTCTGTTGCTACTGTGCTGACTCAGCATCCTCCTATAGAAATTCTTACAAGTTGCCTGCCCCTAGATAAGAGATATTGCGCACTGCCCACCTCCTTGCCTCAGTGACCTCATGGGGGTGGGCCCCTTGTTCTGTCCACCTTCTAGTGTCAGTGACCTAATGGGGTTGAACCCCCTGCTTATCACTCATGTGACTGTCTTGACCCTGTCACTGTCCTTAAGATGACCTCACTCTCTACCCTTCCCCCCAACCTATACCTAATAAATAGACAAGCCTGGACGCTCGGGACCTCACCTGTCTCTGCCTGCAAGTGACGTTGGCCCCCCAGCCCAGCTGTTCTTATCCAGTCCTTTGGTGTCGTCTCCTTATTTCTCAGATCCAGCGCCTCAGCACAATAGGCGACACCCCACAGTCCTAGTAGGGCTGGACCCTACAGTCCGCCTGCCTCATGAATTCTGTCTCTTTCAATACAGTAATGTGCGTGCTGAATGAGACAGTAAAAATAACAGCTAACAATTATTAAGTATATGTGGTATGACAAACTCTATGCTAAGTATTTAAGCCCAAATGTATTATTATACCCATTATACAGATTAGAAAACTGAGTATTTGCCCCATGTTGTACAATTGGTTAAGTGGTAAAGCCAGGACTTGAATCCAGGAAGATTCTCTGACTCCAGAGCCTACACATTCATGCTTATTCTCTCTACTCCCTGAAATCACTGTCACACAGCGACCCTGCCCCAGAGTCACTGTACTGCAAAGAAGGATCCCCTGTGAGGTTTCCATTGCTGTTGGAATGGGCAAGACTTGTTTCTTAAACCAGCAGATGACAGTCACCAAAGGACCACAATAGGCACCAGGCACAGGCACTGACAGATGAATCTAAGGAGGCAAGTGAGGTTTCTTCTCCAGCCCTAACTGCTCTCTGGACAATGCGTCCAGGTTATCCAAAAACGAGCTCAGACATACTAATAATCACGTAGTGCTATTAACTAGATATCATTAAACGGTACCCACTCTAACTGTGAAGTCTGTAGTTATAAAACTATCCAAACAACTGTGTCTGATCAACACAGGTTGCCTTGTCTTTAAATTTAAAATATTTAAATGGATTGCAGTCCATAAATACCAGAGGGTATCATTCACATGAAGTGATTAAAATATTTAAATTTGGAAGTTACTAGTATGCCTGCATGCTAAGCCCAAGGCTAATTTAAGGAAAGTAATTTGGATCTTTCTCAAATGACAAAGATATCCAGAAGGGGATACATACTATTGGCACAAAAAATGCCAGAGAAAGAAACCCTGGATTCATAACATTAATTAAATAAATCAATCAAGACTTTGTATATCTCCTCTACTGCAAGATCTAAATGGTCTTAGAGAATCTTTTGCTCTGATTTTTTGTATGAAGAGGCAGCTACTTGGGAAAGCCCTCAGCGCCCTGGTTCACCTCGAGGGCAGTGAGTCTGACAAGGATGCTACACAGCCTCCATCTGACTCACAAGCCCAAGCCATTGACTGCCGACAGTGAACCGATGCCAGAGCTTCGATGTCCATGCGAGTTCCATGAAGGCACTTTTCTCCAAATGCTGCCTCCTCGGTGAGAGAGGTACTCTCACCACTGCGTTTTACAAAGAAATCCAGCAGAACTTTAAAAGGTCAGACTTCTTAACCTGGTTATTCCACTTCTGGGAATTTATCCGAAAAAAAGGATACAAAATTTAGATGAAGGTGCTCATGGCTCATTTTCCACAATGGTTAGGAATAGGAAGTTGCTCGAAGGTACCAACATAGGGAACTAGTTTTTCTGCATGTTTATCTTTCTTCACTTATTCATTCCCTTAAAACAGTGGTCCAGGTACTGAGGATACAAAAGGGAATGAGAACAAACAGTCCTGCTCTCTGGCGCTCACCTTCCAGGAAGAGCCACAGGCCAGCCTACATACTAAATATCAAGGTAACGGGCAAGGACGACTGGGCTCCCCGTGAGAAGGACAAGGGCCAGACACTCCGAGATCCCAGTCACGGTAGACTGACTTGGTCTAGGGACAGGGAAGGCCTCCCTGAGGACAGGACATTTGAGCAGGAAGCTAAAGGACAGACAGGCATTAACTCAGCAAGGGGAGGAAAGGCATCCAGGAAGGGGAAGGGACACCTGCAAGAAGAGATGGAGGAAGTGAAAAGAGGCACAGATGGCTGGAGCAGATGGCAGGAGCAAGAGAACTGGGGGACCAGAGCAGGTGGACAAGGCTCAGAGGTGGCAGCGCTAGTCTTAGAAGCCTCCTGTACCCCTAGGAGCAAGGCACAGCCTTAAAGGGTAACAATCAGATGAGCATTTTAAAAAGATCTCGTTGGCTCCAGTGTTGAGTTGATTATACTATATCCTCATGAAGTTATGCCATGTTGCTATAAAGCAAAATCTTTGTGGTCAATTTGAGTAACAAAGGCATATAAGTATAATGTGATTAAGTTTTTTAAAGTGATGGCTGGGCCCAGTGGCTCACACCTGTAATCCCAGCATTTTGGGAGTCCAAGGTGGGTGGATCACTTGAGGTCAGGAGTTCGAGACCCCAGTCTGGCCAACACAGTGAAACCCTATCTCTACTGAAAATTCAAAAAAAAAAAAAAAAATAGCTTGGTGTGGTGGTACGCACCTGTAGTCCCTGCTACTCAGGAGGCTGAAGCAAGAGAATAGCTTGAACCTGGGAGGCAGAGACTGCAGTGAGCCAAGATTGTGCCATTGCACTCCAGTCTGGGTGACAGAGTGAGACTCTGTCTCAAAAAAAGAAGAAAAAAAGAAAAAAAAAAGTTTTAAAAAGTGAGATACAAAATCACATATAAAATATAAACTCAATTTTATAAACTATACATGCTGAAAAAAGACTGGAAGGAGATATATTTAAAAATAGTTATCTTTGGGTAATAAGATCATAAATGACCTTTTCCCTCAGTTTTCTGAACTTCCAAAATTTTTTATATAAGAAGTCTGTATCACTTGTTATGAGAGAAAAATAATATAACCTAAAAGTTTCTATTTCTATCCAAATTTTACAAAGTAAAATCCTCACCCAAAAACATCTCTTTCACAGTCACTGGATTATTTGCGTAATAAAATATTAAAAGAATACATGACAATAAAAATATAGCTCAGATCTCTTGATTAAATATTCAGTGTATTTACCTGTAACTAGATTACCATTTAGCTAAACCCCTCCCCAACAGACCTTGAAATATTGTGAAGATTATTAATTAAGGTCTACAAATCAACCTGACTTGAAACACAGAATGACTTTAGAGACTTAATTCTATTATGAATTCACCAAAGGAATAAGTATTTTTACAACTTCATCAATAAATTCAGTTGTTCACATTTACAAGAACAGAGGACTGAGGCTACAAATTAATGAAGCATACCACATGATATAAAAATATAATTTAATGAGAGCACTACATTCCCAAGTACTTTGCATATTTTCTCTCTTATTCTCATCACTGAACTAAGATTCTATTAGACAGTCTTAAAATTGTGCAACAAATGACAGAAGCAAAGTTAACCTGTGTCAAGTTACAATGGAGTGCAAGCTTCATCAGGGCAGAGGCTGCATCTGGCTGATTCTTTGTCGTATCACCAGTGCCCAGCACACAAGAAGTGCTCAGTTTGTTGAGCTAAACTCATGTAGCGTAGTCTAGAGCCTATTAGGTCTGTTTCATTCTAAAGCTTATGCTCTACTCAAGAACACCCCATTTCTCATCTTCCAGAAACAGAGGACAACCATTGGCAACTGGCATTTTCTTTGTATTTCCTTCCAGCTGGGAGAAATGTTTTCAGACCTCTGGGGATCAGAGTTTGTTAACTGACTTCATCAAGTACAGGCTAAAGGCAGAAAACTTGGGGAGTGTAGAGAAACACACTGGTTTGCTACAGGTGGTCAACTGATCCAATGTATCTGGAGAGAGTTTTGTTTTTTTTTTTTTTTTTTGAGATGGAGTTTTGCTCTTGTTACCCAGGCTGGAGTGCAATGGCGCGATCTCGGCTCACCGCAACCTCCGCCTCCTGGGTTCAGGCAATTCTTCTGCCTCAGCCTCCTGAGTAGCTGGGATTACAGGCACGCGCCACTATGCCCAGCTAATTTTTTGTATTTTTAGTAGAGACGGGGTTTCACCATGTTGACCAGGTTGGTCTTGATCTTGGAGAGAGTTTTTAATGTCAGTCAAGCACTAGGCACTCATATCCTTTGATGTAGCAATTTCAACTCTAGCAACTGACTCCACAGGAAGCCTTGAAGTATGAAAAGATGTATGCACCAAAATGTTAATCACTGCACTGTCCTCAATGGTAAAAACTGGCTATATAAACTAAAATAAGTCCACATAATAGCAAACCCAGCTTTTTAAAACTATGTACTAAAAATGAAAGACTTTCAAGGTGTAGTAAGCTTTTTTTAAAAAAAGTTGAAAAGAATACTTTTGGTATTTAGTATTTGAAAAAAAAAAAACAACAAAATTAAAGCAATATATGTTAATACATTTCAAAAAACTTTCAGAGGCACATGAACTAAACTATCAAAAGGTGTTACCCCTAGAAAGAGTAACTCCAGGTTACTTTAACTCTACATCATATGGGATTTGTGAGCCTTCTACAACACACTTATGTTACTTTTCAAAGTGACAAGGAAATAAAGATTTTTTAAGTTGTAATAAGTGCAGCTATAAAAATCTAAAACCTTACTAAGGCCATATTTCTATTTCTTTTTATTAAAGTTAAACATCGGTTTGCTTTAAGTAAAATGCTCTGGCTTCATTAAGCCGACTGGTGCTGAGTTCTAAAAGCATGCTACTCCTACCACACTGGAAGCTCGGCCAGCACACTAAGGGCTGCAGTGGAGGGGTTAATTCTACCACTGAGTCAAGGGCCTGTATCTGTTATAAGTAAGTGTATAAGCAGAATCCAAATGAACAAGCATCTTGATCCTTCCTGCACTCTGTGGAGCTCACTCGCATTCAACCTCTGGCTGAAGTTACACAGAAAAAAACACTTTACCTGCTTGATTTCATTGGTTGCTCGTAAGGTGTCTGCTGAATGGCGTATTCCTGGTACCCTCGCCGAGGCACCAGGTCTGCTGAAGTGGTCTCAGAACTTGTAGCTCCTGTTTCAGGAGGCCCAGCCTCCACTGGCACAATCTTGGTAGCACCTGAGATTGATGCAAAAGGCACTGCTGATTGAGAGGCAGCGAAAGTGGCCACTGATGCCATCGCAGCTCAGGGAATGGTTTGGAAGCGTATTTCAATACTGAATGACACCCACGCAAGATAGTTTTCACTGAGCTTCTACGTTTAAATTCTTTGGGTGTGTGTTATGTGTGTGTGAGAGTGTATGCATTTGAGAAAGTAAGGACAGGTTTTTGAATAATCTGTCTAAACATCCTCCTGAGATATATTTTCACTTGATCCACCTAGGTTAAAAACTATACATATATATACACACATATGCTCAATATACATATATATGTTACTTGCAAGATTTTATACAAGATCACCTGTGTCAAACTTTAAGTAAATTTAAAGCTGCATCAAGATAGTATGGAACAGTAGAACAGACTGTAAACAGAAATTTAAGCTAACTTGGTCCCAAATATGACATTGCCTCAATATCTCTGTTTCCACCATATGAAATTAAGGGTTTGAGGTGGAAAATCTCAAGGGTCATCTTTACTTCTGCGATTCTATACAATTAAATGATCAAAGGCCTTTTACAGCAGTGGACACTTCATATGAAGGTATACGTACGTGTGTGTGTGTGTGCACGCGCGCGCACATGTGTATGCCTGTGTGTATCAACTGCATGAAAGAAAAAGATCCAATTTACCCCATTTCTGAAACTGCAAAGGAATTAATTATACTTTTCACCCTTGCTTAAAGAAATATCACAATACTACCACTAATTTTTAGAAAACTGTGGAAAGTTTCTCTAGCAACAATTGAAAATAGGAAATTCTCTCTGGGCTTTTTATTTTCCAGAATACTACTGTTCTGAAGTGAGTAGGGCAGACAAAGTAATTTTCCAGAAAGTTCTTCTAGTCACACAATTTTATATGGTCTGTTCTCTGATCACCTTCGTCTGCAGTAAAGTACAGGAGAATTTAGTCAGAGTTTTCATTTTAAATGAGTTATTCTTAGCACTGAAAAGGCTGCAGCTGTCCTTAACATCCTAAACTTAATTTTCAAATTTTATTTGACAACAATCATCTCAAATGCATAGGAGAAAAATTATACTTTGAACTCCACCATTATAAACTGCTTTTTTTATTAAGGGTCCTATGCTAAAGGAGACCTTTTTAAAAAATATGGTGTCAGGCCAGGTGCGGTGGCTCACACCTATAACCCCAGCACTTTGGGAGGCCAAGGCAGGTGAATCACCTGAGGTCAGGAGTTTGAGACCAGCCTGGTGAACATGGAGAAACTCCATCTCTACTGAAAACATAAAACTTAGCCAGGCATGGTGGCAGGCACCTATAACCCCAGCTACTCGGGAGGCTGAGGCAGGAGAATCACTTGAACCTGGGAAGTGGAGGCTGCAGTGAGTCGAGATCACACCACTGCACTCTAGCCTGGAAGGCAAGAGCAAAACTCCATCTCAAAAAAATAAAATAAAATAATACACACACACACACACACACACACACACACACACGTGTAGTATCACATACACACGTGTAGTGTCACATATCCATCAGCTATTTCATGTAAAAGAACAGGGGGAGATGGAAGTTTCTAGTATTATAAACTATTTGGTGACTCCTTCTATAAATACAAAAAGATCAACAGCATCCCAGGATGCCCCCTTAGGACATTTCCCACTGTCTTAATCTTAAAAGAAAAGAAAGATAAGAACAGAACTCTAATTCTTTGGAAGATGGAAATAGTGGCTGTCTATGTCAGCTTATGTCTTTTCTATGTGTACACAGGTTAAAAAAGATACGAAACAGAAGGTGGGCAGAGTTAGCAGGGGTTTTGGGGCAGCAGCCTGCATGCGCGTGGCTGAAGGGGCCACCCCCACGTTCAGGATAGCATTGCTGCGAGCTGGAGGGGAAGGCACACACCCAGCAGAGGAGCTAGGTGAGGGAACAAAGAAAACAAACTGTTCCCGGAACCACTACTCCAGCAGGAGTGGCACAGAGGGACTGTGGTACCGCAGCAGCAGCAGCAGGGGCAGCAGCCCTCACAGCTACCCTATTCTCCTCTATCCATTCACAACACCTGGGCACTAAGTAGGTCTCATCCTCTGGAGTTAGTGTGTGATGAAATGGAGAGCCCCACCAATGCACCAGCTCTGTGCTCTGATTCAGACTGTGACATCAGGCTGCCCTCAGCATGGACTGGCTTGTCCTTTCCCGCTTGGTGCAGTCACCTGGAATAGCTTCGTGTGCAGTTAAAACCACACTTATGATGGGTTTCTTCGCCCCAGAAAGCAGCCCGGCCTCCTTTCCTGAGATCTTCTGGACTTTCTCTGTTTTCTGTGACCGTGGTCTTTTCGGGGCCTTTTCTCGATCATCTTCCTTACACTTCTTTTCTAGTTCAAGGTCAGACTCGTTACCTAAGGAGCAAATACCAAGATGCATAAAGTATCCTTTTATATCAGTGGCAGAGGTGGAGGGTAAACATGACTCTCCACAGGGCAGTGAAGGAAAGAGCTCTGTGGTCTGCAATGCCATGCAGATCACTGAGTCATGCAGGTACCACAGTGGCACTGCACTCCTTCACTCAGTCCAGTACAGGTTCACTGCTACCCACCACAGGCCATCACCTAGGCCCCGGGCACACACTGTCGGGTAAAAGAGAAATAGATTTTTGTCTTGTCTTCATGAGGCCAAGCAGACTCCAGAATCATTAATAAACAACACTGCAGAGAACACAAGGTCTCCAAGATGTATATTCCAAGAAATAAATCATTCACTTATTCTACTTACACTTAGCAGCCACTGTCTGTGTACCAGGCCTGCTGGACAAAAAGGGTGATAAGGTGCAGACCCTGCCCTCGAGGGCCCTGCAGGGCAAGGGGAGAGACAGACAGGCAAACAGTACATGCAATCCAGGGCAGTCTGCAACACACCAAACGAAATGAGAAATGACCTGAGACAGTTACAGGAAAGGATGGTAGATTCTCCACTTCACGGGGAGGTAAACCCTCGGTGCACTTAAAAAGCAAGCATGTGCGAAGCAATGGTCGGGAAATACAGGCAAGGGCATGGGGGCAAAGGAGTGGATGTGGTGGAAATGGTGTTCCAATCTAGGGACAGACAGCAGAGCCAAGGTGTAAGCCAGCGCCCAAGCACCCTGTGTGGTGACCACTTCATGAGGAAGCAAAGAGACAGAAACTAAACCAGGGGAGGGCGTCAGAGTTAGGTCCCAGAGGGCCCCGAATGGCCACGAGAAGTCTGGAAACTTCCTTTGGGGAACCAGGGGTGAAACATCAATGTGCACGAAGACCAGTCAGTCCTGAGGAGTGGGAGAAGCTGGAAGGAAAGGAGGCTCAAGTTCCCACAGACAACCAGCCTGCTGGGTGGGAAGACAGAGTCACGTCTACTGACGGCTCACAGTAAGACTAGAAATCTAGATTCCCTACACGAAATCTTCTGATTTTTCAAGGCTGCCTCTAGTCTACAGTTTCTCAAAACAATGGAAGAGCAAAGGGAAAGGATACCTGGGGCCTGTCTGCTGTCTCTGGAAGGCCATCATGGAGAGCCACAGGTGTCTACGCCCGGAACAGCTGGATTATATTTGTGCCGCTGCTGCAGAGAGCAAACTGAACGGGTTCAAAAATGTTGAAATACACTGAAGAGGGAACGTGTCAGCCACAGAAAGAACAGCAGCTAGTCCCACGTGGCTACCCTTGGCATTAGCCTGAGGGGTAAGAAAAGCTTCGACAACCAAGTAAAGAACAAAGGAGCCACCTCTTGGATGCACACTGTTTGACACTCCTGAGTGAAGAGGAAATAGAGGGAAGGCAGGAAAAGGAGTTTTCTCTTTCTTAGAAACAGAGCCACAAAACCTGAAATAACCTGCCCAAAAATCACTTCCTCAGAACATATGACAAATGCACAGGGAACAATTCCACATAAGCCTCTCTCAGCCATGAGTGTGGAAACGGATGAAGGAAGGGAGGCGGGATGTGGAGGTGCAGGGCGGGGGTCTGGAAAGTGCTGCCAGGCGGGGTTATGGGGAGGTGAGACAGGAACCGTTCAGTAATATGGCAGAAACAGGAGTAACCGAAGGGAGACAGCTAGAGGCCATTCGGTCAGCCTGTTTTCCATGATTCAACTCTGCCTGAAGCCAGTTCCCCAAGTAAAGGTACCAAGGAATGCCTGAAGGGAAAAGATAAAATGGAGAAGTATTCTTTCTTAGGGAGGCAGGCTGGTTAAAGGAAAGCTCTCTCAAGAAGAGGCAAGAAAAAAACTTGGCTAATGGCAGATTGGTCAAAACAAACATTCTAATTTTCTAGGTTCTATGAAGCTTTTTGGATGTTTATCCCATGACCTAGGTGCTTGAACCATTTTTTAAGACCTAGAGAAACAGTTTTACGGAAGTTCTTTAATTCACTGGAAAAGATCCTTAATCACATAACTAGCATCGGCATTAAATATAACATTGAACTAAAAGGCATGAATAGATGAGATCATGAATCAGACAGAACTGCACATCATTCTCTAAGGCTAAAGGGAAAAAGTCAAGACCATCAGACGCGTCCTCCCTTGAAGAACAGGATGACTCCCGTAAAGCTGCAGAATGGGGAAACAGGTGATGGCTAAGTCACTGGCAGTGCCTACATTTTGTAGGCTTGATTTGCATCGTGCCTAACAGCAGTTTTTGTTTTATTTTACTTTTTAGTACCTATAATAAAAACATTTCAAAAGGTCTACAAATTGCCTGAGTCACAGAAGTTCTTTTTGTGGCCTACATACTGGGTGATACACACGCATAAATAACTCTAGCAGAATATACTGAATGCTATAAAAAGGTAGAAACAACAGATTACAGAATTTTTTTGCTTTAAAATGATGTTTTACTTTATACCGCAATTCACCATGGGATTCAATGCAATACGTGGGTGATATGCCAGGAATAGATGTGTTCACGTTAAAAAAAAAGACCTGAGAATTAGAACTTGCCAGAAGCTCAACCCAGGTTAACAGCATGAATCAACAGAAACCAAATCACATTCACCTGCACTAATAAGAAGCCGCTAAAGAGACCACCAGGCTCTGCACCAGATTGACTGCGTCTGGACTCTGCTTTCGGCATCTCATGTTAAGAACACATGGCAGAACTGGGTGCCCGGATGTGGGTTAAGGTCTGGCGCCATGCCATTTTAAAAACCAGTAGAGACCTGAGTTGGCCTTGGTGGAGAAGAAAAGACTGGACAAAAACCTCACCTCTCCCCTCACCATTCCCACAGCTCCGATTTGAGTTTCCTTCCCTGTGGCTACTTCGGGAGGTACACTGCCAGTATCCACCCTGCCCATTCCCAACACCTGTCCCTCCTCAAGGGTAATGCCACCTCCCACTCCAGGAACTCGGAATTCAGCTCCATCCTAACATCTAGGATTACAGGACCCAAGCCTGGCCAATGGGGTCTGAAAAGAAGGGCCCAGGGTCTTCCAGGAGTGATTTTCCTTCCTCATGAAGAAAGTACCACCTCTCTTCCTCAGCTGAGTGTTGCTATGTCCACTGCCAGAACCGAGGCAACCATGCAGTAGCGAGGAGATGCCAAGTGAAAGACTATGATAATGCCTCGGGCATCACAAAGAGAGAGGTGGATCCTGGGGCTTTCCTGGCACAGATGTGCCCTGAATCTGCACTGAAACCACTGTGCCTGGGCATGTTTTTACATGAAAGAACATTCTCAATATTAAACTCGTTTTCAACCAGTGCCTCTGCTAACAGTATCCTGACTAACACTCTCCAAATCATCCTCTACCTAGACCCTAGAGTGAATTGTTTTAAAATTCAAATCTCATCCTGTCACTTGCCTGCTTAAAACCGTCCATGGGCTTCCTTCCCATCTCCATTAGGAAAAGGTGCTAGGTAAGGTCCTCCAAGAATTGCCATAAATCCTCTCCCACTACCCCTGTACCGTCAAGGCCATGACTTGCAGGCACACGCCCTCACCTGCTTACCTCCCGCCCCTCTGGGCTCCATCAATGCTGAACCACAAGTTGACCAACACCTGGTGCTGTTTACAGCCCCTAGACCTTTGCACACAGCCATGCACTGCACAACATCCTGATCCATACACCCCTGCTTGTCTAAATGACAAACCAAAAGGTGGCTCAGATCTCCCCTCCTCTGTGATACTCTGTGCCCTTCATCTTCTTACTTCCTCCATCCTCCTTAGACAAACACAGTACCGAACCAATGGTCGGACTTCCCACACTGCTTGCAATTATCTGTTGATATGCCTTATCCATACTGAGACCTCTTGGAAGTTGGGCCCATGTCTTCTTGTGATTTTATGAAGCCTAATGTAGGCCTCCAGAATATAAAAGGCTGGAGCCAGACAATGAAGAAGACTTGCTCTGTCGTGTTCAAAAAGATGAAGCTAGGACCAATGGGTAGATGTCCCCTGCAACAGATTTCAGACCAGAGAAAGGTACTGTCCAAGGAAAGGGTGTTTTTCAGACATGTTTCTGAAGCGGGTTTTCCAGGACGTCACAGATACCACTGAAAATGCTGTGGAAAAGACTCTGAACCACATGGGAAGTCAGACCAAACAATGTATAAATCTGTAAATTCTAAGGCCCTCACATCTGAAGAGGTGGAACTATTACACAAGGAAGAAGAGAAGAGTAAGGAGGTTGCAGGGAGAAAAGAAGACAAAGGGGTGAAAAATATGAGAAAGAGAAAAAAAAAAAGCCTGGAAGAGACAAAACAGTAGGAGATAGAACACCACGCACCTACAACCCATTGGACCACACCCGCCTCAGGTCCACATGGAGTGCAGGCTCTGGTCCCCGCCTCAGCAAGGAACAGAGGGACTCTCCCCATATCCCACGGCCCATATGGCTAAGGTGGAAGCAGTGCTCTGGACACTGTCCAGGCAGACAATTCTAGGAGTCACCATGGCAGCATCTTTTTGAGACAGAATCTCACTTAGTTGTTCAGGCTGCCAGGCTAGAGTGCAACAGCACGATCCTGGCTTACTGCAACTTCTACCTCCCAGGTTCAAGTGATTCTCGTGCCTCAGCCTCCCAAGTAACTGGAATTACAGGTGCACACCATCCCACTCAGCTAATTTTTTTACTTTTTTAGTAGAGATGGGGTTTCACCATGTTAGCCAGACTGGTCTCAGACTCCTGACCTCAAATGATCCACCCACCTCGGCCTCCCAAAGTGCTAAGATTACAGGTGTGAGCTACTGTGCCTGGTCCATGGTAGCTTCTTGAGAATCAAATTCCTACTGCATATAGCAAAGACCCCACTAACAAGCCCTTGGCATTGCTCCTTCCCTGTCACACTCTTCTCCCTCCCTAGCTCTGCTTCCTGGGACTACCACTCAAGTAAACTACTTGCAGCCAAAGCTGCTTCCAGGAGCAACCT